GTTTTTATTTTTTATATAATTTATTTAATTTTTTTTATTATAATTTAATTTAAGTTTAATAACAAAATAATTTATTTTTGATTTAATAATATAATATTTTATAAAAATAATAATTAAGTATTTTGTTAGAACTCAATGATTATCTTAATTATATTTTAGATTTTTTATATTTAAAATAAGATGTTTATCATGTATTTGATTATGTTTATTTGCAGTTAGTTACACGAATTCATATATGGAATTATATAAGTTGTACTTACGCACAATATACTTGTAATCTTGAGTTTTAAACAATATGCATTAATAAATAGTACTTTACCCATAAAAAGTAGTTTTTAAGAATTTTTGTAAATATTTTATAATATAGTATAGATTATGTGTATAAAATAATATAGTATAGATTATGTGTATAAAATAATAATGATAAATAAATAAAATATATTATTTCATGGATTTGACATTTTATGGGATTAAATTTACTTTTCCTGTAAAAGCTGTCAAAACTCAAAACATCAACCCTTCCTCATTGACCGCAGGATCAAATTTTGACACGAGTGGATTAACGGCCGAGATTTCCTCCCCATCCTTTAGTCTTCATCAAAACTCTCACCGGACCGTTCTGGTGTTCTCTCTATTCCTGTATTGTTGTTGAAGGCGATCTCTCTGTTGTAGACAGAGACCCGATGGAGACGGAGCTAAAAGAGCTATTCGACGCAGCGAAGAAAGCGGCGGACGCCGCGGCTGTTGTCGGAGGTGGCGCAGATTCTTCGCCGGAGGAAGATCGTTGTATTGATGCCTTAAGAGCGCTGAAGAAATTTCCTGTTAACTATCAAATTCTTGTTTCCACTCAGGTAAATTTTGTTTTCGCAATTATATAATGGATCTGTTCCCATGTTGTACTGTCAATCACGATCCTATGTTTTGGATGAGATGAATTGTGATTGGTTTCTAAATTTTGGGGTTATGGTTACGTGTTCGGAAACGTAGCTTTTTTGCTATTTAGAATCGTCTTCTTTGTAATTAACAATTCGCATTCTTAGAATTGTTAAAACTGCCAAAAAAATAACACATGGAGATGCTCTAATTCAATGAAACGCCGAGGCAGGTATGCAATTGCAACAAAGAGAAGAAGTAGAATTTACGATAAAGAAAGAGTAAGAAATTCAAGACACGAGAAAAAGACATGGCTTGTTTATTAATTAGGTTCCAGTTTGAAGGTTGAGCGTCTTTCCTAAAAAAATTCTAGGTCAAGCACCGTAAGAAAACTGGTTTTTGGGGTTTTCCTGTTTCCATTTTTTTTTTCTTTCATTAGAGAAGATAGATGACTCTGTTATTGTTATAATTTATAACCAAGCCAAAGAATTGAACAAACCCAATGAGTGCCACAATGAGTCTGTTATTGTTAACTTCAATAACTTAATTTGAAAATCAGCTACCTTCTTTTGCTTATGTTGATCAGAGAAAGTACGTATGTATACCCTGTGTGTTGGTTTCTTGAATGTTGTAATGATTCTGAGTCATAAATGGGATACAGCTTTTGCTGTGTCATTAAATAGTTTTGGGAATTTCTGTTGTTGAGGTGGTGAAAAGTTCTCATTCAAAGCCTCAAATCTTCAACAACGCCACAGTAACGAAGCATGTTTTTGCTTCTGCTGATTGGGACCAGTTCACACATAAATACACAGATATACCTTTCTGCTTTATAGTCATGGGAACTCAAACTGCAAAGCAGTCTGCATGGTGCTCAATTCTGCTGAAGAAGATTGATTATCTCATGAATCAGGCAAATGCCTCTTTAATTGCTGAATGATGACTTTATGTCCTTCTTCCTGTACTTGGCCACTCGAAAAACACATAAAAAGAAGCTGGGGTGTTACACAACGTATTGCTATATAGGGCTTTTATTTGTGGTGCGCTCTTCTTGTGCTCCAGGTATTTGCCTGAATGGTACTTAGCTTGTACAAAAAGAGGTGGAATATTTAGGATTGCGCTACTGTTATAAAAGCATGCCTAGACACTAGGCCTTGTCCACAAGGTACAATTTTTAAGCATTGGCTTAGTTGATATGCTTGGTTAGTAGAGTGATGTTTCAGGTGTACTCTCAAAGAGTCAAAGACATGAGGTGCATAGTGAGAGCTTAGGTGCACCTAGACATTGGATCACTTCTTTCTTTTTTCATAGTTAAATAATATGCTTTCCAGTTGGGAAATGTTAGATTTGATGTCTAATGCATTAGAAGCTAAAGTATAAGATCTCAAATTTCTGTTGCTTAGTTTAACAATTCATCTCATTTTTTTGTTTTCCTTAATTAGGCAAGTAGATTGTGTGTATATAGGCTTCAAGTGCTAATTTATTGTGCATTCTCTACCAGTTTTAATCATAAAGACTTGATGCATGTGGTAACCCTTACCTTTTGTTTGGTGGTTTGGTATGTCTTCTGAAACATGCTTTTACTTTTCCCCGTTGTGCCTTTCCTTTTTCCTTAATGGACTGCAGAAATTTTTTTATGTTTTTCGGTTTATCATCACACCCTATTTTTTCACCTCGATCATACTTATTTTATGGACCACCAAATCACATACATAAAACTTAACCATATGCATAGGAAATATCTTACAACTTTAGACAAAAAACAACATTCGAAGACTTAGATAACTTCTAAGTCGAAACAACATAATCCTTACCAGAATACAAATGTGTAGTACTGAAACAATTAAACAACTTTCATAAGCTTTCAATTAAGCCTATGTTGACTCCTGATTTTCTTGCTCCTGAGATGCATATTACTAGTCTGCCATTAAGCTCTGCGAGCTCACAGTGTTCCATAGCACACTGCTGTGAACAACATATTGCAACTCTTTCCTTGCATACAAACACTCCCAATGCCATTATCTACTAGATTATGAAATTAAGCATCAATTAACACCGCATAACATGCATCAAACTCTCTGATTTCTTTCTCTGTTTCCACAACAACGTATTTGGTCATTCATTATCATATTAACGGCTTTTCTGCCTCTAATTCAACACCACTTAACACACTAAACACCTTCTGTAACATCATACGCAACTATTGGATCATAAAAACGAAACCTGTGCTTAAGAACTCACTTGAATTTGGCTGTTGAATGCTTGGACTTCAACTGCGTTTTCTGTTGCGTTTTCTGCTTCAACCTCCTTCGTTCTTCTTACTCCTTGCTAACACATCTGGAACGAGAGGGGACTTGGGAGAGGCAGATTTCTTCAAATGAGACTCCCAGTTTCACTATAATCTCTTCCCTGTTGTGGTTGCCGAACTCGGAGGCTTCAACTTTTATCCACGTTCATCTGAACGTGTTGTTTCAAGCATCCCATTTAGCCCTCTTGTTCTAATTAACGAGTTTTAAGCCCTTGGACTTCATTCTTTTGTTTTCTACACCTTAAGCGGTTAAGCCCCTACCTTGACTATCTTTTCCACTTCTGAATTGACGGTATTACATTTATGAAAAAGTTAAATTCGATGGGGTTGTTATTAAGACACTAGTAGAGCAATCACAGAATTTAGCACTAGTATAGCCTTGCTGTAGTGTTGTTCAAAACCAAGATCACTGAGATTTTTATTCAAAGTTATCGAAAACTCCAGAGGATTGCAAACGAGTAAACAGAAAAGAATTCTTGGCAATTTCGAGACTGCCGAATGTCTCCTACTAGGCCAAAGCCAATTCAACAAAAATGATACCCCATTACGACGCCTTATCCCTATTTAACAAACCTCCTCCCATGCAAAATACTAAACAGCCCTTCCACTAATCTCTTTATAGAATACCAAACTACCCCTCCACGAATCTCTTTATTATGTTTAATACAGTATGACTTACTTGAGGTGACTTTAGTGCCTCCTCCTGGCGTACGTGAAACGAGTCGGTGGTTGACCAAGTGTTGTACCCCGATGTAGCATTCACATTCGAGGAATGAGGACTGGGGAGGGACTTGAAAACGTGAGTAAATGTAGGCTGCTTGCTATTCTTATCATGCATTTTTCTCATTCTGTCATTCTGTGCAACATATGGGTATGTGTTACTTCAACAATTGGCTCATGTCACTTTCTAGGCTCTAGCACTTAATCGCCTGAATAGAAATGTAGGTAGGTCATTCGGATATAGCAGTTTTTAGATTGTGTAAAGATTGGGGAACTGAAACTTTGGTAAAGTTACCTTTTTGAATGACTAATTTCAATGATCCATTGATGTAATTACTCAGAAATGACTAGAAAGTTTTTACCCAATTTGAGGAAAGTTGGTGGATAGAAGTGGATTACTTCCTGCTTGATTTTTTGAAACGCTTAATTTAGCAATAATTCGAGCTTTGAAAGACACTTAACTGTGTAGTGAAATATAGCAAAGTGATGCAGAGCCGCTGAAGCGGCCAAAGCAGGGATTTTTTGAACACTGTTTTTTGGTTGAATATCTACATGCACCTCCTAAGTGTAAATATTTTCTTTTCAGTATTTGTATAATTTTTTTCTAATAATATTGGACATCTCCTTTTCAAGCTACAATATCTCTCTTTTTTTTGGAAGGGTGTCAATCCCATCAAATTGTGACGGCAAGAAATTAGCCCCGATAAACTCGCCAGCCTCAATTGGTACGCCTGGAATCAAACCTGGGTTAAGATCTCACCCTTTAAGTTGCTTGATTTATAAGTTGATTCTCTTTTATACGTATGTTGATTTGGCCGGTAGATATGTTTTCTGTGTGTAAAATTTGGTTTTGGGATGTGTATTGCCAAAATCATTTTGCATTATCTAATTGTCTAATTCCCAATGCATTTACTTGTCTTTTTATTTGGTCGGTTTCTACTATTATGCTGCATCTGGTGATTGGCTTTGTTGTTTCCATCTAATAACCACACTGCGATCACAGTGTGATCACTTTTTCTGTTGACCTGAAGCAACATAAATGACGTTCTAACTATTCTACTTAGGGCTGCTTAATAAGATCCCCTTTCTGGTTTGATTAGTTCGGCACCTGTCTGTCTGCTTAGGAGTTAAATGTCCCCCACTGCTTGGATTAGCGACTCAAATTAGGCATATAACTATCTCTTATGGTTTGAAGTGTCACTTCCATCATTTCAGGTGGGGAAGCGTCTTCGTCAACTAACAAAACACCCTAGACGGAAGATTCAGTCTCTAGCTGCTGAGCTGGTGGAAATTTGGAAAAATATAATTGTTGAAGAAACATTAAAGAATAAGAAAAATGGGAGCTTGGACGCCAAAGAATCTTTAAAATCCGAGCATGTAGCGGAAACATCTGACAAGAAAGTCCAGAGAGTAAACTCCATTAAGGTTGAAAAACATGGTCATAGTGGCACACACACTTCTGAGAAGAAGGTTAATGTTGTCAAGGTCGAAAAGCGAGAACATACCAAAGTGGAACATGTTACCAAACAAGAAAACAAGCAAACTTCCGATGCAAACAAACCCAACAGATCAAATAACATCGCTCCACCAAAGCTTACTTCCCTTGTTTATTGCAAGGATCCTGTAAGGGACAAGATTCGTGAACTTCTTTCCGAGGCATTGTGCAAGGTTCCTGGGGAGGTCGAGGATGATTTGAGGGATGAAGTTGATGGTTGTGACCCTTATAGAGTTGCTGTTTCTGTGGAGTCTGCAATGTTTGAAAAGTGGGGGAGATCTAATGGGGCACAGAAGTTCAAATACAGATCCATAATGTTCAATATCAAGGATCCCAAAAACCCAGATTTCCGAAGGAAAGTATTGCTTGGGCACGTGATGCCAGAAAGGATTCTGGAATTGACTCCTGAAGAGATGGCAAGCACAGAAAGACAAATGGAGAATGTGAAAATAAAGGAGAAAGCTCTGTTTGATTGCGAACGTGGTGGGCCACCAAAGGCCACCACCGATCAGTTCAAGTGTGGTCGTTGCCAGAAAAGGAAGTGCACTTACTACCAGCTTCAGACACGGAGTGCTGATGAACCCATGACAACGTTTGTAACGTGTGTAAACTGTGACAATCATTGGAAGTTCTGTTAAGGAACTGCTTCATGTAATCAGTCACTTGTGCCTGCCGTTTTTCAGGTGAGATCAACTTTCAAACTGTTTTTCTAGTTTTATTCGAGTTCCTAGAAATATTTGTTTGTCAATTATAGTTATAGATTTAGATGTGTTCGTCTGTCTGTGTCTTTATATGCCCTTGTGATAGCTTATTACCATATTTAAGAACATCTAGTTATGTGTTCGTACCTCCTTAAACTTCCATTGAATCTGCTGTCTTAAGTTGAACCATCCTAACTTCTGTTGTTTGCTCTCTTTCTTTCTAGCTATGATAGAAATATATATATATATATATATATATATATATATATATAATATTTTTATTGATATACAAGTTTCTAAAACAGAATTATGAAATACCATTTGACACACAATATGATGTGCAGATTTTGTACACAGCAAGTGTATGTATAGGGTGGTGTCATACTACTACATATAAAAGTTGGGTTTAGGTACAATGGTGAGGATGGGGATGGTTGTCCTTGTTTGCCTGAAACATTTCTGAGCTCTTGTAAAAAATTCCTGCTCTTCTTTTATAATCCATTGGTTCTCTTCCATCATCTTTCCCCATGATTGCTTCCATCTCCATTAGCTCCACCTTTTCATTTATATCTTCTTTGCTTTCCTCTTCATCCCGTGACTCTTCTCCATTCATCTCATCTTTCCGATGGCTCTCTGGTCTCGTCGGCCAATCTCCACCACCACACTTGATGGCTAACCCACGGCACTTCTGCCACCGCAACTTGTGGTGGATCCTGCAACCGTAAGCATGGTGGGTTTTGGGTTGAGAAAGGAAGGTTGAGATTGGTGGGGTTTGGGTGGTGGCAGGTAAAGTTTCCATCATCTGAATCATAACTTAACAGAAGGGATGGGTAATGATGGTTGAGCCATTGGAGGTATGCTTTATATAATGGAAATGCAGGGCTTGACGTGCTAGACACGTGTCAAATAGTGGTAGTATCTACACGTAGCAGGAGTAGTATGCAGACACGTGGGATGAAAGGATCGCAGTTGGAGAGTTGAAAAAGCCAAATAGAAAAAGAATCGCCGCCATGTCCATCGTCATCCTCACTTCCTCATGTAGGAGAGAGAAAGACGGCAGTAAAATCCATTCACACGTGCTTTTAAAAGAAATTCATTTTACTATAATATTAGCAGTTGAATCATGTATTTGACCAACAAATTATTAATTAAAAAAAAAAGAATTCAGAGCGATACGAGTAATGAGACGAGGAGATTAGAGAGGAGTATCATTATTACAAGTCATTTCATTTTTTGCTAATAAGAATCTTACATCGAAAAGTTTTAATAATCATACGACTAAATTATGTATTTTTGTCCATACGATTTCGAATTGCGGTTCTCGTCTTGATTATTTGCAATTCATTGTTATATTTGTTCCTTATTTAAGTATGATAGATTAAAACAATAATAAATTGTAAACCATAAATCTGAAAATAACAATAAATTTTAAATCATAATGATAAGAATAACAATGAATTATGTACTATGGAGATGAAGTCAAAAACTGTAATTTACTCTAATCATGCCGAGAAACCTTTGGTTAGTATATTTCCATCAGATTCTTTAAAACGGAGAAAATAACGTTTTTGTTTCCTACTTTGCCAAAAGATTCTCTATATTATATTTCATTTTTTTAATATATTTAAATAACGTTTTGGTTAGTATATTTCCATCAGATGCTATTATAATATTTAATAAAATATTTTTTTTTCTCCTACACATTTATTTTGAACGAGAAAAAGTTAAATATTATTCATCTCTCTCAAATATGAAGTTTTGGAGATCTCTTCAAATTTATAGATTTTTATTCCCCTCTCTCTCTTCTTTTATCTATACATTATATGTTATAAGCTTATAGCATAGCTCTTGAAATAAGAATATATCATTAATCTTTAAAATCTCTATTTTAACATATCTTACAATTAATAAATATATGTATATTTATTACATAGAAAATTAAACTAACATAATAAAAATTAAGATATTTTAACCAATTAATCGACTATTTCTTGATGAAGCGGAACCCACAACCCTGATAACGACACGCACCGTTTTGATGGAACTTCTAAATATTTACATATAAGCCCTTTCACTTTTCTAAACTTACTCTTTCTACCCCTGTTTCACCTTTTCATTTTGTTTTGGTCTCTCTCTTGTATTTCGAGTATCACAGATTGATCATGAAACTTTCAGTTTTCTGAACACCACAAATAGGGCAGAGTTTAACCCTCCTCTCGCACACCAAACACACGCACAAATGACGACATGGCAGCCACACCATTGTTGCAGGCCGACTCCGGCAGTTCCTGCATATCATTTCCGCGTTTCCCACGCTATTCAGCTCCACGAAACACGACTCAACTTCTTCCTCTGCAGCAGCGGCACCGGCGCCACTGCATTCCTCACCGGTCATCCTTCGTTGAAGCACTTCCTCCAGAAAACAGGTCCTCTCTTCATAGTAATGGTACATTTGTCTGAACCGATCCACCAGTTCGTCTTTTTGTTTTAACGATGCTTCCATATCCTTCCTCTTTTTTACTTCTTCGGCTAAGTTACTTCGCCAGAATTCATTCACACTCAGTAGCATCTGGTTGATCTGCATGAACATGAAAACCCCGTAAGTGATGGATTTATACAACTGGAAATCAAAATTGATTGAGTAAGAAAGAAAGGTTATTTACATGATAGTTTATGATGAAGTTTTGTTGTGGTATTAAAGAAGACAAAGCATCATCATCGGCGGCGTCTTTTTCGTCTTCACGCTGCGGAAATGCTGACGGAGGAGAGAGCTGCAGACGGGTGCCGATGGCGGTGGTGTTTTGTGGCGGATTGCGTTGTCGCTGGAGGAGAGAAATGGATGACGGAAACTCGGTGATGGGGTTTAAAAGTTCAATCCTCCTGCGCTTGCTTGCAGCCGCCGAGCATTCACCTTCACAGATGATCTTGTTCTTGTTCTTCATGGGCGCCATTTTCGTGATTCAAGGAAAGATGTATGGAGGGTGAAAGAGTAAGAGTAAGAGATGCTTGGATGACAATCCGATGAAGGGTTGGACGTGGCTTTGGAATTATAAAGGGTGGCAAGCGACGGGATCGATGGTTCGTGGAGACGCGTCGTATTATTACGTCACGACGTTTCTTGAAGATTTGTGTGGTTTCCATCAGTGTGTATAAATCCACAATAACTGTCGGAGTTTAACTGTTGGAGTTTGTTTCACGGATATGTGACGGATATAAAAGAAATTAAATTGGTTATGTTTTAAAAAATTATATGAAATGTAAATATATATATATATATATATATATAATATTAGAAGGGTAATCATGCAATGCAACGAGATATATGATGATTTTAATATTTTTTTTTTATCTCAATCGATGTTATAATATGTGATTTTAAAAAAGCGATAGATATTTTTATTTTTAAATAAAATATAAATTTAAAGATATTATAAAATTTTGATAAAATTATATCGATATTAGTATAAAATTAACTATTTAAAATTACTAATTTTTTGTGTAATTTTTTAATTCAAAATTTTTAATTATAATTTAATTTAAGTTCAATAACGAAGTAATTTATATTTGGTTTAGTAATATAATTTTCTCATTAAGATAATAGTTAATTGTTTTGCTAGAACTCGCTAATTATCCTAATTATATTTTTGATTTTTTATATTTTAAAATGAGATGTTTATCCTGTATTTGATTATGTTTATCCATAGTTAGTTACACGAATTTAAACATGGAGCTTTAATAAGTTGTACGTATACATAATTTACTTGTAATCTTGAATTTTAAGTAATATGCATCAATATACAGTACTTCATGCATAAAAAATGGTTTTTAAGAGTTTTTGTCAAATGCTTTATAATATAGTATAGATTATATATAGGTGGGTTATGATACAACTCTTTACATTTGTACAGCCAATACAATTCAATCTCAACCGTCCATTTAATTTGATGAATATGTAATTTCATAGAAGTTTTGATTGTTTCATAATAAAAATTATTGATCATAATTAATGAACCGTATTCATCTTCTATAAATATTTAAATCATAATAAATGAACTCTCATCATTTTCATAAATATTTAAGTTTATTGGGTTGCATTGCTTGTACAAATGTAATGGGTTACATTTGAAACAAATTCTCTCTCTCTCTATATATATATATATGATGTTTTAGAAGATAAGTTTTATTTTAAATGTATATTGGTAAAATATAAACTTGTTCTATGGAATGGCTTTGAAACACGTCTCTTTCACTTTCTTCTTGTCTATTCCACATAAAAATCTTACCAATTATGAAACAATGATTTTTACGTTCTTTTCAATGTACCAAATGCACCATTAGTGACCCTGGCTCGTAGTAGAAATCATATCCTAAGTTATATGATTTTTCTACCAAATTTTATATTAAGTTCTCTATGAATAAATTGTCTTTGTGGATAAATTTGTCTGTCTAAATAAAAAAAATATATTTTTATTTACCTTTTTACCTGAATCAATGGTTTGAATAACACAAAAAACCCATCTACTACCCCTATTGTTAATCAAACCAAGAAACTATCATTCACCAAACTATTTTAACATCAAAACATAATAATCTAGAGGCTGAGCAAGAAATCGTCACCGGTGAAAAGAAATCTATCTAGATGATGGTGCAAGAAGCCGTCACTAGAAATGAAATTGAACAAAATCTTGGAAAACCATGGAAATGAAATTGATCTAAGAAATCGTCACCGAAAAGAAGATGATCTAGGGGTTGTAAACAAAATCAAGGAAGGAGACATGCTCTTCGAAGAAAGCTTCAAAAATCGATGTGCGGGAAATAAGGTCGAGTATAAGGAGTTGCAGGTCGAAACCGCTACAGTTTTTGAAGGTCAAAATCGATGGTGATGATGGAAATGAAGTTTGGAGATGGTGATGTACGTTTAAGTTACCTACTATTAACAAATCGTTATCATTTAGTCAACGTTAGTAATATTCGATTTTTGTACATGGATGTTTTAACGCTATGTTAAGAAGTTACATCTTTCATCATCTTATAGGAAATGCCTTCGACGACAAGATGCTGTACCGTCTCTTAACCGGTGGCAAAGGCCCGAAAATCTCCCAAAACCGAAGCGTTTCATCCGCACCAGCCGACACCAACGTCAGCCCGTCTGGGTTCTGCGCCAGCTGCAAGACCCGCGACGAGTGGCTCGTTAACTCACCCGCTTTAACCATCGAAGGATACCTCCATAACGACAACGTATTCTTGCGTTCATTGCTTGTGCTGAACCCATGCCCACTTACTATCTCCTTATAATGTTTGTTCCATTCTAGCCCACAAATCTGCACAATGTACAACGATTCATGCACAATGTACAACTACATAAAGCAGTGAAACTGAGATCAAGAAGCCACTTGCCTGTGCTTCTGTGTTGACACTAGTAATACAAGTCCCTTGTTGAGTATTCCATAACTTAATGCACCCATCATCTGTGCCACCACCAGATGCCAACACTTGAAAGTTATAAGGGCACCAAGCTAGAGCCTTGACTGCAGCCTCATGGTTCGTGAACCGGTGGACGAACCGGGCTGAGTTCATCCTCGATGCTTCCCATATGTACACAATGTTATCATCACCACCACTAGCTAGTAAATTGCCGGTCATCGACCATTTCAAGCCACAAACTCGACTCCGGTGTGCCTTCACGTGCGACACCAAACTGTTTCTGACCCTCACTGTGAAGTGCGAACCAAAACGCATTCAACATTTTTGTTTTACGGATTCTAAGGAGCCACAGAAATCGGAAGAACGGAATGGAAATAATACCATCATGATTCATAATAGCTTTACTGCTGCCTGATGTTAAAATGTGGCCATTCCATGAAGTTGCTCCTACCATTGTTTGGTGACCTTCTAGTCTTCTGATCTGTGCAATATAACATTAGATTTGGAAACCTAGAGAGAGAGACAGAGAGTTTAGAGAGAGAGAGAGTCGTACGAGTTTGTAAGCGTGTGTGTCCCATAGCTGGATCTGAGAGCGTGAATGACCAACTGCCAGTGTTTTGCAGTCTTGAGACCACGAAACGCTGGAAGGATGGTCGTTCACGCTGTTGGATTTAAATAGATGATGTATGCCTTCATTCACAGCATTCCAGAGGTACAAATCTCGACCCAAAGCAACCGCAAGAATGTTGTTCTTCCCCCAATCCATTACGTTCATGTAGAAATCGTCCTTTAGATACGGAGCATCGAGTATTCTACTCTCTTTCTGAAGAGATTAACAAGTAAATCGGTCTTAAAAGAAGAACACGAAAATCTCTCGAAAGCAAATTCTAACAAAAAAGAAAATACCTTGGGGAATTTTCTTTGTTGGTTTGGGCTGATGTTATGGTTGAATAATTCTTCATCACTGTTACGAAGTTCATCGATATATCGGATTGATTTTCTACTCGATTTCGGGCTTCCTCTGAAAACAAGCATTCTAAAGGGTCTTCCTTCCCTATCCAACGTCAGATTTTCCTCCATTATTCTACGGTATCCGGCCTGTTACAACGAAGATCGGTTAGGAACTCGGAAAAAACCCTTTCAAGAATTTCAAGATTTGCATCACCCCAACCACCAAGAACACTCAAAATCCAGAATGCCCACTATCAAATTTGCATCAAATTGAAGCAAGAACCAAGAATATACACAAGAAGAAACAAAATTACGAAATCTTTCAAGAAAATTGATTGCAAACTGGAAAACAAGGACTGAGATTGCCATCGTTCAATCATCCTAACACCAACAACACTTGGAATCCAGAAGACCCGCAAACAGATTTGAATCAGAAACCAATAAGAAAGACAGAAAGATGGGATCTTTTGGAGAAGAATACGAGACTAACACTGAAATTGCATCTGGTAGAACAATTGGTTCTGTTGGTCAACAGGGTGTAGGCTTGATCAAGATCCATCAAACTCCTGTTAGGTATGAAACGATCGCCCTGAATGAAAAAAAAAACCCAGAAAGGAAAAAGGAATTAGAGACGATTGAAGAGGTCGGAGAAGAATGGGAGTGAAGGGTGGCTCACCGGAAAATCATATTCGACGGGGCTGCAATGGAGTCGAGTTGGAGAGTACCAATTCGACTGCAATTTCCAATCCCTTAATGGGTCTGAATTCACTTCCAATTCCATCTTTTGAGTATGGTCGATCAAGTTGGGGTCTGAAGAAGATGAGAGGAGGAAGAAAGACCCTGTTTGTTGCTCATGAAATTGGCGCCAAAACTGAGTGTCTCAACGGAAAAGGGTTTACTTCTCTCTGTTCTTTATTTTTTAAAAATAATTTTAGGGGACAATGATTTTATTCAACCATAGAGATATAAGAAGAGATTTGGACCATTGATCACTTTTAATCTTTACTTCCATTTTATCATAAGACTTGATCCGGTGCATCTCGATATACTAAATCATAGTTAATTAGGATTGATTCAAATGTGGGGATCTCTTGTATTCTCAACGGAACCCTAGATCCCCAAATAACTATTGTTTCAAACGGTAAATGTTTGATTACTTTTCTTTTCCTATATAAAGTTATATGTTACATGACGAATAAAGTTGACGATAGCATTTTGGTATTAGGTAAAAATTTTGAATGGTAGCATGGCTATAATAGTAGACCTAACACAAATTAAAGTTTGAGTATCTTTTGGCAAAAATAAATCCAATATTTCATAACGCTTTCAATTCCAAAGTTAAATGTAAATTCGAAAAAAAAATCACGGGTATGCTCAAAATTTGAGTTTTAATACATGAGAACGAATTCAACTCCAATCCTAAAAGTGAATTTGAAAATAACAATGGTTACAATTTTGCTTAATAACGAGCATTTTTCAGTAAAAATGAACTATAATACTTAGTAAGAGCTTGCAATTTCTTTAAAAGGTTATTTTTATGAACCCTCTTTATTGCTAAATAAGCATTTTTACCAATCTCAAGTCATTCGACTTTTTATATTTCCAATGCATTAAAATAACCAAAAAAAGATTTATTTAACATTTGGTTTTCTTTATCTAAATTTGGCAAGTTAAATATCTAGGTATTTTCAAGTCCTACCTACCATAAAAAAAAAGTGAGCAAGAGCAGGCGCATAAACAAAGAAGTCAAATCAATGCAGCTTTCGTGTCTAGCCTAAAGATATGGGGGAATGGACTTTCATTCCCAGGACCGCCCCGTCACGCTCCAAACTGATGGCGTCTCGATGTTCTCCTACAGAGACCACTGAAAGAAAAGAAACTGTTGCTCTAATTTCACTTTAGGGGTTCTAAAAATTCTATCCACCCCATTCAAGAAAGAAACTTCCATATCACAAAACCCTTGAAGCAAAAAACCAGACATCAAATCAACAAAAGGGTATGTGGTACATCAACATTCAAGATTTCACAAAATAAACCACTGAAATCAAAATGCACAAACAACTTACACCAAACATATGTTGTTCTGAGTTGTGCAATAAAACCCTCAATAACAAGTCTCAAATTTTAGCAGCCTACCTACATTATGATACTAAAACATGAAAAATATCATTCATAATTACCACAAAAAAAAATGATATAATAACAAGAGTTATGTGCAACTCTATACATTACTGGATAGACTCATCTTCTATCAGAAGTGATGTGAATGAAGTCTGTGTCGTAGCCATTCTGGGAAGGATTCCATTGATTCGTTTTAAGTAGCAAGAAATTTACATCTGATGGTGCTGAAAAATAGATCCAATTTGTTTTTTTAGGAACTAAAGAATGGACCAAGTAACAAGGCTAGAATCAACAAATCACCTGTATAAGGGGAGGTAGAATGTATAATTTACGGTTCTCTGATTCTCCTTAGCGATGAAGAAGTTTGGTATCATTCGTCTTGTTGCCCCTTAACGCTGAAAGAGAGAAGAACGACCTTGTGGCTGAAAAACAAAAATAGATGGAAATATTGGAATTTACGAGGGGTATAAAAACTAATATTGGTGGAACCAAACCTAGAATGTTCCACCTGAAGGTGGGATCAGGGGTGAGATGTATCTGAACTCTATCATGAAAAGGAGAATGTTTGTTTCCGTAAAGGCCTCTGGCTTGTGCAAAGTATACGAAAAGAAATGACAAAGGTTGCCCTAAAAAGATTATGGAAATAGAAAAAAGAGCTTGAAAAAAGAAAGGTGGTGCTAAATTGAAAAGACAGATAAACAAATAGAGTAATAGACAACACACACAACCAGAAGCAAACATACACTATGTTCCTACGAGTCCTACAAGGTCACTGTGGATTTTCCTGGCTGTTCTCCAGGCCCTTGGGATGAGTGGAGGTGCGTGCAAGTTGGCCCAGACATCCACGGTTAACAGAAAGAAGAAATACTATGTTCCTAATGTTAGTCCTCATGCTAATTTGGGAATGTGGTTATCACAGTTTATTTGTAATTACTGCAAAATCTTCGACTCTACCTTTTGTTGTATTCATAGAAGCAGAGACATTCCCCTCTGGTACCCTTCGATGATTCTGAACAGTAAATCTACTGAAATTTGATTGACCTGCATGGATAATACTCGTTGCATGCATAACAATGAAAACTGGAATCTTTTCAAACATCAAGGTTTAATATTTGCAGATGGTAAAGTAGCCTTTATATTACTTTTTACCTTTAGATTCCTCTGCATCATCCTCTCCTTCTGAAAATGCTGATAGGCTGGACCAACCAGTTAGATGTGAATCAGCTTTAGCTTTTCGAGCAAACTTCAAAAGTCGCTTAAACCCTCTAGGTGCGTCTTTTTGGTAGACCATGGTGGGAGGGTGCTCAGCATTTCCCCACTCACCAATATCAGCTTCGTTGCTCTCCTCAAAAAGCATTTGAGATAACGAGTGACGAACACTTGAAAATCCAACTGGTGCAGTCACATTGGCTGGAGATGTAATCTGGAAAAGGCTTTCCTTGCATGAAATTATCTCATTCTGATGATGCTCTTCGATTTCTACCCATGCAGTTGGGGAAATTTCTATTTCTTCTTCGGTTGCGGTGTTTCCAGACACTTTTGCCCTTGAATCCCCACCACCACTACAACCATAAAGTTGAGCAGAGCTCTCTGATTCCTCAAATTTGGTGGGGCTAACCACTTGGGGTTCCAAATCTAAGCTAGCACGATTTTCAGGGATTTCACATTTTGTCTCCTGATTTTGGCTCATTATATCGATCCTTGTGATCACTTTATTCTCCTCGGATTTGTTCAGACCTCCAGAGCTTCTAAGAGTTTCCTCAGGCTCGGCCACAAGTTTTGGCTTGCTAACAACAGGACCAACACCAGGGCCGATTCCAGAGCCTTTACGAAGGAAAGGTTTTGTCTCCAGTGGAACCACGCTGCTTTTCTTAGTAACCTTGTTATAAAAACTGGGTTTAGCAATAGCATTAGGGTCTGCCTTGGGAGTCTGAACTTTGGTTTTTGGTGTCTTCTTGTTTTCAATCACTGTGGGCTGCTTCTTCTCATTGATGGCTTTAATTCTCTTGTTAGCATCTAGTTGTGTTGCTTTCAGAGTCTTCAATTGTGGTTGCCAACTTTCGACTTTTGTGCTTGAACGAAGAACTGATGCAGTGGAGTGAGGTTTTCGATTTGTTGGTGTAGTATTAGTAGAGGTGGTTCCAGACAGAGTCCTCGCAGATGATGCTCCTGAATATTGTGTTGATGGCCATGACTTGCGTGTAGCATGCAAAGGAGTTGACTTTGTTTTTGATTTCTTCACATCATAAGGTTTTATAGTTCTGGAATTTATTAATTGAATCGAGTTCATTTGAGTTTTTGGGGATTCATTTACTGCAACATGTTTTCTATTAGCACCACTCAAATTGGTGGAAGCCATCTTGGCTTTTCTATCATCAACGCCTTTCTCAACTTTCTTGCCAGCAGCTTGCACTTGGAGCTTTTCTTCCCTCTTTTTCTTATAATGATCATAAAATCCACCCCTCTGCTCCTTGAGAATCTTAACTTTGCTATCTTTACTGGTCACTTTTTGATGTCTAACCGGCTTGCTTTCCATCAATTCTGTGAACTGGTTCAGTTCTTCTCCCTTCTGTTGACTCCATTCAATGGAGGCAGGATTCTTTTCATAACTTTCCTCTCTTTCAGGTTCAAATGTGTCAACTTCCACCCCTAATGTCTCAGATGCTCCCTTTTCAGACGAGAGTGACTTGATGTTTTCAGTCTCAACACAAGCTTCAGTGTTAGGAATACTATTATCAGGCGTTGTTTTGCCATCTGGAGTGATATTTGTGGGGCTGTTTACAGAAATCTCAGTGCTAATATCAGGGAGGCACTGGACATCCTTTTCACCCATTCCTGAACTCCATCTTCTAAGCGCAACTTTGTTTAAACCCACAGTTACATTTACCAATGTTTTTGTCGTTTGAGTTTCTACACCTTGGTCTCTCTGTTTGCTTTCGAATAAACTGATTTTATCTTGCACGTTCATTCTTAATACATTGTTCTTAGGGGGTCTCTCTGAGTCTTCCTCTTCACTACTGTTCTCAGTTGAGTCTCTCTGGGACGTCGACTTTTCCCTGGCTGGAAAATGGTTGAGACTCTTGATGCTTAGTGCAGCTGCTCTCCGCGAACCAGATCGTCCAATCTGGATTCTTCGCATTGGAGATGCTGACCTTCTAGGCATGGCAGATCTTGCAACAGACCTACTTCTTTCAACTGACGGTTGATCCTCCTCGCTTGAAAAGGTTGGATCTTCATCAATTGAGCTGTGTCTTTCGATATTCACAACTTTAGTTGGGGAGACACCATATCTTACAAGTGGATCCAACTGTGGAGGTTGAGGCATGGGAGCACTTCTTATGGCCTTACTCATACTGTTGTTATCCAAGTCCTTATCTGATGGGAGTGTGCTCAATTCAACATACTTCTGCAATGAGTCCCTGAAACAGGTGCAGAAATAGTAACCTTGATGTTCCCAGTTTTGTCAAACGGGAATGAAGGACACAGAGGATGAAAAAAATAGAGGAACGAATGCCAAAATATCATACATGAATCTGACAAGCAAAGGAGGAGCAAAGCACACGGGGAAATTAAAGTATACGAAGATACCTTAGATCCTTGGCTCCAAAATGAAGAGCGAAGTTTCCCAAGTCAGAAATACCCTTAGGCGAGCATTTGGAGCCAACAGCATGGTTGAACGCAGCAGCTAGTTCCTCTTTCAATGTTGTCAATCTCAAATCAACTGTTAGCAATAGTTCGTTCCTATCAGAAACCACAAAATATGTTGGTTAAGGAACTGCACAAGATAAGAAATTAGAAAATGGTAAAAAGGAACATACTTTGATTCAATTGATGTTGTTATATCAACTTCAGCCTGTTAAAACACAAATCACAGTTGTCATTTACTTCTGCATGTAACATACATTAGGCATTGAAAATGTGTTTGATACAAATGCTCTAACATAAAGAAGGGGGTTATTCAGGATTTACCTTATCAGACAATGAGAGTTGAAATTTTCGGGTCTCCTCTAATTGAGAGATCTCTTCTTCAATGTTAAGGATGTCGGGCAAACCAGTAAGGCGTAAAAATCTAACAAATTAAAATATATTAAGGTGAACAAAAAGAAAACTAGAGCCTTTTAAACCAAGAAAATGAGGAAACTTGGAAATTGGAATTGAGATATATATTATATGGACCTTGTCAATGTGGCTGTTGTAAACCAGCTGGCATCCTTTATGTTGTCAGGTGGTAAAATCTTGAACTTTTTGTTGGAGCCTTTGGAAGACAAATTTTTAATTTCAGGTGAATGCAACAACAGTTGTTTCAAGGGTCCAGATGACACTTTCTCTTCTCTGTTGCTACTCCATACACTTGCCTCATACCTACAGAAAAGAAAAGGGAAATATAGTTGGAATAGTAGTTAAACAGTGATAACACTAAATTATTGTATTAACTTATCCCAGCTAAGAATGAGGTCAAAAGCACCTCATCTACAACCAACAAATAACTACTGTTTTCTGATTCTCATCCACGTAATCTTTGTGCCTAATTTTGTTCTTGAAATTGGTTCAAGAACTAGCAAGGTCCAACATAAATATTGCTATTTTCACTTCTAAGCATATACAAGAAAAAACAGGTTGGTGCTTCATAAATGCTTTTTTGGCATTCTCAACCTAATACCTACGACAATGAGCAAAGCACAAGAGTCACTTCACATCCTTAACCATATTATACTTCCATAACTTATCTAGATAGATGCACTGCACCTTTCAGATTATGGAATTTGGTATGCAAATGGTCTTTCATTTTAGTATTAAGTGTAGTACAGAAAAATCAAAATGCTGATAAACATAGAGATATGCAATCTGTTCAAAATGTTGATATCATCATTTTAGTTTCTGCATTGCACTTCAGAAGGAAGAATAATACACAACATCAACTTATCAATAACCAAGAGAAATAACCTGTTCTGGCTTGGAAATATGTGAAATTCAACATAATCAAGTGTCGCATCAGGATTGATTCCTCCCTCCATCTCTATAGCCTGAAACAATGTAGCCAAACCCTAACTTAACTCAATTTCCTCCTCCAATTTGTTAAATGTCCCTTCACATACTCCGACTAAACTACAACAACACAAAACACCATAATACTCATCGTAAATTTTCATCAAGAATACCATTTCCACTAATAAAAATGCAAAACACGGCAATTTTCCTAAATTCACCGATAGAATTACGAGCTAGTAAAATCTCAGTGGACTACCAAAATTCCAAAAAAAATGATAATACAATATACATATACCTACCGTTGAAGATAAGATCTAGCCAAATAATTGCTAAACTTGAGAAACGAAAATAGCAACTCACCGACGATGAAAAGGCAATTTTACCACATATTTCAGCAACAACTCAAATCAATCAGCAGTTCATTTCAAAACTTGAAATGCACTACCAAAACACATAGAGAAGGTGTATGTGCGTGTGTGTATATACAGAGTTGAAGTGGATACGATTAAGATTAGTCGAAAAAAGTGGTTTTCCAGATCATAAATGCGAAATTGAATTGAAGGAGTGTAGCCTTTCCTCCGGTTTGGCTTATGTTCTGTGAGAGCGACAGAGGAGACAGCAGAGAGCACACGTCGGTTGGTGGAGGCGCGTGGGTCTCCGATTTTAAAAAAGATTAAAATAAAGACACATAGTGTCGTGATGTAATGCTATATGTCTTGTCATACATTCTATTCTATTACAGAATATTTAAGGGTGAAAGAATCCGTATCAAAAAATTATAAACGGAATATTATTTACACCATTTTTTTTATGTCAAAATCAGGTCAATTTATGTATTGAAAATATAAAAAACATGTATTAATGTTGATGTGTCTGCGAAAATGTTTACGTAAAAACATGTATTAAGTGAATATCAGAATTATTTGAAAATACTTAAAACACTTACAAAACATTAGCAAACTTTCCGCATTTATCATTTTGTAAAGTAATCTGATTAACACCCAAAATCAAAGGCGCAAATTCTTTTTCCGGAATAAAGTGAACAAATGGAGATATATAGACGATTTCAAGTAACGTAATGCAAGTAAATTTCCAAATCGTATGAAAATGCATAAAGCAGTTACTGAAGATGAGCATCGGCGCTGCATTTAGCACATGATAGACCACTCTTCACAACATCCATTCCGTTGAAGTCATGAGGACGGTAGTGGTCGTATGATCGTCAACGGAGTTGTAGAGGCACGTCTGTTGAGTAAAGACGAAGCGTTGAATCCGATTAATATTAATTAGTCTGAAACGCAAACATGAAGGGATAATATATGAAACCCGAAGAAGAAGAAGAAGATACAAAAGTTTAGGGAGACATTGGGAGATGAAGAAGAGACATCATCCAGGAAATGAAAGGGTGGGTGTTAAATGGAATACATAAAATGAGAGCATGAATGATTGATAAATGTCGATGAAAAATCAACAGTATGTGGATTATCCTTTTCCTTTTCCTTTTAATATATATATATATATACTATATTATAAAGTATTTGACGCAAACTCTTAAAAACCGTTCTTTATGCATGAAGTATTGTTTATTGATGCATATTACTTAAAATTTAATATTACAAGTAATTTTGCGTAAGTACAACTTATTAAAGCTCCATTTTTAAATTCGTATAACTAACTGCAGATAAACATTCATTTTAGATATAGAAAACGTAAAATATGATTAAGATAATCATTGAGTTCTAACAGAATGTTTAATTATTATTTTTATAAAAAATATATTATTAAACCAAAAATAAATTACTTTGTTATTAAATCTAAATTAAATTATAATAAAAAAGTGAGTTAAATAAGTTATATAAAAAACTATTAAATAGTTAATTTGATACTAATATCGGTTTCTTTTTCCAAATTTTTATGTTATCTTTAAATTTATATTTCATTCAAAAATAAAAACATTACCGTTTTTTCAAAACCACATATCGTAGTATATCAATAGAGACAAATAATAAAAACTAGACATTAGAATGGAAATTTATCTCGTTGCATTGTGTAAGTACCATTCTAGTATATATATACATATGTATATATATATATATATATATATATATATATATATGTGTATATAGACTTGGGATCATGTGAGACCAAAGATTTTTCATAAGACCCGTAAAACTAATTCTCAACCCTTGGATTAAATCTACAATCTGAACATTTATAATCACAAAATTGTCACCGTGCAACTTTAGATCATTATATCATTAGCTTATAAAGTTGATCAATGAACATAAATTGGTCTTACCGGTCTCACGAAAAACTCTTGGTATCACGTGAACCCAACCTTTTATATATATATATATATATATATATATATATATAACTCATCACATTTGTACAACCAATACAACCCAATAAATTGAGATATATGTGTGTGTATAGGTGGAGGTTCTAACATAAACACCTCCATATATATAATTTATATGGATTTAGTAAAAAGAACTTAATGTTGTTTTATCAATTAGTTTAATAAAGTTTTACAATTTATATCGGTTTTGGATATATCCACGGTATTTAAATACACATATAAAAGTTGGGTTTTGAGCACATGGTGTATATGTCATTTCATTTTAATGACAAATTCTCTCATAGTAATAAATAATGGTGGTTGTGAAGATTTATACATTTCATAAACGTATTCCATAAAATCATTGTACAAGAAAACATGAATGCATTGATAGCCATAGGTGAATCGGACCACTTCACATAACTAATACCAAATCATGCTTCATCATCTACTACATAACTATTACACCTATCCTCACTTGTGAGCTGTCCATATTCCATACCCCCCCCCCCCCCCAAAAACAATTTCGATGATCATCATTTTTTTAAAATTATGCATCGAGAGTCGGATATTCAAGTCTCGCAAGATATGCACAAACACGTAAATGAGCATATTTTGAGTCCCAAATTACAAAAATGTCCAAAGATGAAGATGGGCAGTTGGATTGTGATAGGCAAAGGAAGGGCCACCATGAGCATCAGCTTAGGCCACACACTTGCACAAGCCATGTTGGTGATGTGCTGTAATTCTGACAATTCCCCATTACTACACCTTTTCCAACACAGTAAGGAAAGGTACCCCTTTTTATGGCCTTTTACCAAACTTAACTTACAAGCCTATCACCTACATTCTTACATTATCATAAAAGTAATGCCCCCACCTCATAATGCAAACAGACTGTAATCATTCAACACAAATTAACCATTTTACTCCCCACCACCTCAAAAGAACATATATGGCATTGCCATTGCCACAAGAACAAGCCTACCCAGATTACCAATCATCTTGAAAACTAAATATAGCTTCTTTTTGTTTACATCATCTGAAAGGCAATCACACCTTCAGTTAGACCACACATGGATCAAGCCAAACCTATTGCCAGTGTATATCTCATTACGTTCTTCATCGTAGAAAAGGGCAGTAATGTCCTCCAGGGCTTCTGTAACAGAGCTTGCAATCCTGGAACCTTGTATCCGTCTCCTTGAGTTGCACTTGCATCTACGTCCACCATCACTGCAACTGCATTCGTCTATGGGGAGATTGTTTGTTGCCTTTACTTTAGTGAGGCATTTCCCTGTCAGAATATTGCTGATATTTATCGAACCTGCTGCATGACCAGACAGACAGACATGGTTAGGAAGAAACAAACAAAATTCACAAGAATCAAACCACCATCACAAAAACCTATTTTGTTTATGCTTAGGCCTATAGATTTTTCCAATTTCCCATTCATGAAATGGGATCTATACCAAAAATAAACCAAGTATCAGAGAAGAGAAGAACACAAAAAGCCCAAGTTAGGCATCTAGTTCAATTCTGAAAGATGGATCGGACCAGTGTTAATAGAAGCCAAAAAATTGGTGAATTTGTACTAAATGGAGAAATATAAAGCAAAGGTAAACCTGGATGGAATGTAACAAACGTGATCCATATCAAAAATATTATCTATTCTCAATGATCTTTTGCTTTTGCTTAAATATGCATGTTATACAATTTTCTGCTGTCAAATCCTGTTCTACATTTTTGTTTGCATAGATTTAAATATGCATAGCTGAAGTTATGAGTTGAGCAATTTACCGTTTCCTTCTGTTAATGCGTCATCAGAGTCGGCTTTGCAATATGAGATGATAAGATCCTGATCACTTGTGATGTATATGTTGTTAGTGTTGCAGTCAGGATGCCACAACAAATGATCCTCAAATGAAGTCACAAGTTCCCCTCGGAAGTTCCAGACGGCTACTGTCCGGTTTCTGAATGTCAGAAATAACTGGTTCTCATACAGAAAGATGAATGCCGATGGAGTCATAAATTCTGTCCTGCTAACTTCTATTAGGTCCGAAGTGCGTACCTATGTGGAAAATAAGTTTAGATTATCATTGTACTGAACTGGAAAAATGAATGAGGAAATAAGAAAGATACTTACATCAAGAATCTGAAGATTCTCATTCTCTTGCTTGACTAGAAGCTTTTCATTGAACTGCTCAATAAAATCCACCTTCTTATGTCGATGAAGGAGATGGTTGAAAGATTTTAAAACAGTCCCATCTTCAATAGAGAGGATCTTGAGAGGAACATGGCCGCTAGATTTATTGAATATCAACAACATGATTCCAGGACTGTTTCGGGAAAATAGAAAAAAGAAGAAAGATTGTGAGATGTGATGCTACCATTGTAGATGCATATAATCAGTACTGTAAATGTAGAAAAAAGCAAGAAACAACAGGCTCTACAAATCTATAGCAAATAAACAAATAGATGGCCTTCATTGTTAAGAAGTTTGAGAAGGTTCAATTGTGTTATGGACATCAAGTTCGTTAATGGAATAACACAAAGTTATGTAGAAATTCCCACTCTAGAGATGCAATTAACTTGTTTTTTATAGAGACTAAGGGGCCGTTTACCAAACACTTACCCGGTAAGCGATTACCGGCAAAATTCAACACTATCACTTACTTACTAGGTAAGATTTTAGTCCACCAAATCGGCAACATATGCAACAATTTACCCGGCAAGCGCAACCGTGGTAAGAGTCATCCCCCTCACTTACCGGGTAAGACTCTTGGTCCTTGCCTTGCTCTTACTGGGTGAGATTCTTGGTCCTTACCATATTCATCCGGTAAGACAATGTGACTTGGGTAAGCGTTTGGTAAACAGCCCCTAAATGTAGGACAATGAACTTGTTTCAGATTTTGAAAACTTGCTATAGGTTTGTGCAGGTATTTGCCATCAAATAGGACATGGCAAGTGAAGAATGAGATGCAAATATACAACTTTTCCATCACATAACCAAGTTTTGTGCCAGAAGAATTAGATAATGCAAATCAAATGCTTCTTTACACATCAAATTCCAAATGTAGATAGTAGCCTAGAAAACAAAGAATTTCAATTGCAGTAGGATACCACATGGGTTGGTTTTACCGTTATGCTCTCATTCACTGTCAACTTCAATTATATAAGATCATCCAGAAAACATGGCATAGTTTGCACAAGACCACATAACCAAATCCTCGTTTACAAGGCAGTGCAACCTTTTGCAGAGGATAAAATTGACTCTCACTTTCTATCTGGATATAAAACCCTAAGGACATTCAACAATCTAAGAAAAATGAATCTCCCTAGTACCACACAAGACCTCACAAGCAAAATTAAACTCCTAGAACTGCCACCAGAGTGTCAGTTTCGCAGCAGTGTGGCAAGTATGATTCTGATGCAAGGGACCACCAACTACCTACAACAAATGTGTTGGAAGAAATCTCATACATAGCTGCAAGTTGGTTAACCTCAACTTGCCTAAATAAAGACCTACAAAGCCTGGCCAATAACAGTCAACAGTTAAGAAGAGTTGCTATGCAAGAGAACAATCCAATTCACATCCTATACCTGCATGGCTAGATTTGTCCCCAAAGGGTGCCAGTGGAACTGAACCCAAGAACCCATAAGCAAGGGTAAAACGTAGCTCACCACCATACAAATTGATTGAAATTCTAATAAATAAAAAAACAAAACCAAGTCATAATCCTCCATCTCTAAAGGCGGTAGCAAAAGTGTGTTAGAAGTGAATAAGTACTTTATCCAAATAAAGGTTCTGAATAGCAATAAAGGAATGATGTTACATTGACGAGATAAAGGTAAAATCAGAAGTCAGTTCTAAAACTCAAAGCATGTAATTCAGAAGACCATTGACATGCATCATTCATATATTTTTCAGAACCAAGGGAAGATCTTTACCTTATTTTGATCTCTTGTACATTTTTATCTGATATGGAGTATAGCATCGTATAATTTTTCAAGTCAAACACCTTGTAAATGCTGACAAAATTATTACACAACAATGAATTAATGGCAGCCCCAATAATAATAAAAAGTTATGCAAAAAGATAGGAATCATCGTAGTTAAAAACTTACTTATCTTGCGCCGAGAATGTGAGTACCTTCCCATTTACATCATCAAACTCTACAAAGCCGGGCCATTTCAAAGATTCTGATGTGAAAAGAGCAAAACCAGCATCGGGTTGACCTCTTCTTATGTATCTGCCAAGTGCCACCATTATGTTAGGCACGATAACTTTCACTAAAAAAACTTCGAAAATTTTCTAGTAATATTGATGAATATCAAAATATCACATACTCAATCCTTGTCGTTCTACACTTCAAGGAACTAAAGCTGTCTGAAGCATACACAGAAACTGTAATGAGTGAATCATTGTTCTTATTGTAAAACAAGCTTCTTATAACTTCATCAGGACTGACATTCAGAAAGCATATCCTCTTGTTAGTTTCTGCATCAAACAGTGACATGTCAATCGCCCCTTTCAGCTATTTTTTGCAATGAAGAAGTTCGCTTATATCTTCTTGACTATACCTCGGTTGAATGCTGCACATACTCCAGATTGTGCAAGAGCAAATACTATATCATGAGCAGCTACAATCTCAATAATCTTTGACCTCTTCTTAAGAAATGGCAATACCGTAGAGCAGTGTCCCTTTGGATCATGGGTGTCATACTCCTCCTGAAACAATTATTCATCAAAAGAAGGCATTCACGTCTCAGTTAAAAGCCAAGGCAACATCATACGAACTCAAAAATAAAGAAACATAGTGGATACTGAAATTGAACAAATAGATTGCCAGAATCGTTAAAAAGTATCTTTTAAGTACCACAATCACATGATCAATACATGCCGCATGCATCCAGGCAATGAAATCGAACAAATAGATTGCCAGAATCGTTAAAAAGTATTTTGGATTCAATTCATGACGTTTATCACATCTCCAAGCAAAAAAACATATGAACATCTACAACCTGTCCACAATAACAGAACATATATGCAAAAAAAAAGTTCAAACTAAGGAAATCGCAGTGACTCTATACCTTGTCCAAATCCATCTTATCATTTCAGCTTCAGAAACCAATAATAGTACTAAACATTTTTATCAGACACATTCCTCATTTAGAAAATGTGAACACACATCGTGAGTCATGACAACAATTCTCATTCTCTACCAACTCTGACCACCAATAACCTAGCTTCCACGCATAAACTATACTTGGAAAGAGCCTTCCCAATCTGTATGATTATCTATATGATTTGCATAAAGATACAAAACTCCTATAAAATTCAGATTTCCACAAGATCTTTCCCGGGATAGCTACCATCATATTCAGTAGGGCATCGAATTGCTACCTTAAAAGTGTCATCATAGAGCTCATCAAGGCAAAGATATGAAAACTAAAAGGGGGAAATGATTGCTGTGGATAACAGTTAGAAAGTATAAACCCTTTAATCTTGCAAAGGGGTTCTAGCTATTCTAACCCTTCTACATCCTTCAAACTAACCTAAATTCTTTCTGAAATTTTAGTGGAAGCTTCACTTCTATAATTTTTTTAATTATAAGCCGGTACATGCAGTATACCCGATATCGGAGAGTAAACAAATCAGAAATAACCTAACCTAAAGCAAATCAGAAAATAAAAACGACTGAGAGATATGAAAGTGATGTAGCAATCTAGAAAAGAACCTGTAATCGAATATTTCTGAACCTCTCCTGAGCATCACACATACTAAAAGCACGTCCCCGCTTCGAACATATCTCCCTCCTCTGAAGCTTCTTAACGCTATTGACAAACCCATCAACACCCCCGCGGGTTCGCTTCTTCGCCACCACCCGCCGACCAGTAGACGGCCGTGGATTTGCCGTTATCCTCCTTCCGTCCATCACCGCCAATATCCACTTCCCTCTTCCCCCTTCCCCCCCCCCCCCACTGGTACAATCCCTCGAATCAAACTGCCCAAAAAAAATTGTTTATCTGCTTTGTATGCGTCGGTTGGACCACCACCAATCAAGACTCTGCAAAAACCCTAAATATAGGACCCCAGAAGAAACTCTAGGGTTTTTGTATTGCTCATGGTCCTGATCAATTAATATGCTCGAATAAAACCAATTAGGAAAGTACAATTCAAATTTTCTTCACGCAAATTCGCTTAATCCCGGCGGCAATTCCATTTCCAGATACATAGCAACCAGTTATGCATCCAAATCAATGATTCTCTCTGCTGGGGAATTTGCGTCAATTTTATTCCGTTTGGCGTCCGGCTTGATTTAATCTTGAGCTTTTTTGAATGGAGAAGTTTCAGTTACACCCCCTTTTGTTTAAAACATTCACAAGTTCAGTCCCTCAAGTATGACCTAATTTTTGTAAACATTTCTTTTTGATATACAATTACTACGAAAGAATATGTAAAATTATTTGTCTTTGAATTTAATTATTTTTTTTAATTCGATATTCAAAAATAAATATATAAACACCGATTAAAATTATTTAACATGTTCTGATAGATTACTGTAAAGCTGTAAATTATCCTTATTTTAAAGGGATGTTTATGATTGGTTATTTAAAATAATTTATGTTTTTTTTTTTAAGTGATTATTAACTTATGTGGTATCACACCAGAATTAAATAAAACATGGTTAAACTTGTAAACTGGTAATAAACAGTTTTTCATAAGTCAGTAATGATTAACTTATCAAAAAACAGCTTATTACCGGTTTGGCACCGGTATAAGTAGTTTTTTTTCTTATCCAAACACCAGAAAACAACTTATCACTTGTGTCAGACTGAAATAAGTTAAAAAACAGCTTTTATAAGCAATCCCAAACACCCCCTAAATATAGACATAAAGTTTATAGATTTTTAGGAGAATGCTATGAATCACTAAATTTACGATGCAATAGCTATCCACATTGTCGATGTATGTATATATAAACTAAATATAATTATGATTTTCTTGACATCCAAAATATTAATTTATGGGTGGAAATTTTTATAACTATTCCACCGACAAATTTGTCGAATAAAACTGAACCCTGCGATCTTTAAATTATCCCAGGCAAACCCAATTGGATCTAAAACACGATTTCATTCGACAAATCCAATTTTAACAAATAAATCATGTAATTTGTCGAGTTTAATGCATTTAACTGATGTATAGAGAGAAAAATAATATCACTAAAAAATTATGTATAAAAAGTTGTACATTTAAATTATACATTTTGCCATGAAATGTGGAAGTATAAAAGTTTGAGGGAAGGCATAAACAGACAAGTCGATTTCCGATCCAGTAATATCTCGTGAGTGAAAAAGGGCAATGCTGCTTGTAAAGCTCGTTTGTCGCGTACGCGTTTCTCAAACCCATATCAAAACACGTTGATCCACCATATCAATTTTCCTGGAATACTCCATATCAAAAAAATTGATATATTTTTCTTAGAATAGTTATAAAAAAAATAACATTTTCCATTCTAATAATAGTTTTTTGGTGACTATTAAATGTCAAAGTTGTACACCAAAGTAATAAAAGGCAAATATGCATTTCATAAAGATATTTTGACACTAAAGGGTTGTTTGGCAATTGCTGAATGATTTGATGTAAAATGATTAAGTTGTCAGAATGATTAAGAAGCTCTCATGATATAGTGTAAAATGAAATATAATTGTATGGTAATTGTGTACAATGAAATTAGGGTTCTTAATGGTTAAGTGAGATCCATGATACAAAATCATTCAGAGGGTTTTAGAACCATTAAAAAGCAGACTTTTTTTTTTGCCAAACAAGATTCACCTCTTAACGATTCAGAGGTTGCCTCTTAATTGAACTATTAAAAGGTAAACAAACAACCCCTAAATCAAAATGTTTTAAATCACTCAATAATTTGTATTCATCTTCGATATTTTGAATATATATACTATAGGTGAAGCTCGAACATTATTTATTGACTCGAAATAGTTATTTATTGACCATTTTTTATGACGTGCATCCTAAAAATGAATTTTCTTCAAATTAGGGTGCAACACTTTTCTCAAATTGATCAATGATTTTCTTGAATTTTGTATACTTGCATGTTTTGCAATGATTCTTTGTAAATGATTATAATGCATAAATATAAGTAGTAATAACAACAATTTAACGGTACGTACCAACCAAAGCATCAATGCTATATATGCTATGGACATTCTCGTTTCCATTTCTCAAGCTGTTGTAAATTAACCTGGAAATAAACCCTAAACATACACATACAAACACTAGGTGTTTTATTTACTTATGAACTTTAGAATACCAATTCATTCTTATTCTAAATGCAACATAAACACAAACATGTATATGTGTGTGTGTGCGTGTGTGTATATATATGTATATATAGCCAAAGATTATTTTGAGAAGTAAAGAAGTGATCCAAGTCTTTCATACGATCAAGATTAGATTTAACTGGTCAATAATTACGGCTTTGAACGATCAAGAATTGCGTCTTTGGCTGGTTAATTGCCGCTATGCGAAAAAAAATAAAGGGGGTAGTTTCGTAACCTTTACAAATATACGGCAAACGGGTTCATATGTGAAGCTATGTGATTCACATATGAATTACATATTCATATGTGAATCCGTGTAATTCACATATAAAGTATTTTAACTGATTCACATATGAACTAATTAATTAATTCACATATAAACTCTTGTGATTCACATATGAAATATTTAACTGATTCACATATGAACTTCTTGATTCACATACGAACTTCTTGATTCACATACGAACTTCTTGATTCATATATGAATCATATGAGTTCACATATGAACTCGTTTGTCGCCTATTTGTAAAAGTGACGAAATCACGTACTCATCCATTTTCCGCATACCCATGTGAGGAATTATTCGGTGTTTCACAATCAAAGCTCCAAACTTTGACCAGATGAAGAGTTAGGTTCATTTATTTACTTCTCAAACATTTACCACTTCTCAAATGAAACTTTCCACACAAACACACACACACACATATATGCATATAGGATTGGCTTCACGTGAGACAACATTTTTTTGTGAGACCCGTGGGACTATTTTTTTACACTTGAAACTTTGCAATAAAACATGTGAAGATAAAAAAATTTGAACTTTCACAGCAAAGACACTGTGAAAATTACCTTCACAACGTTTTGCTATGAAGTTTCAACTGTAAAAAAATAGTCTCACGGGTCTCACGTGATCCCAAGTCTATATATACATATATATATATGTATATATACATATATATATATAAGCTAATGATCTAATGGTCTAAAGTTGTACGGTGACAATTTTATGATTATTAAGAAATCTCGCGGCAATTTTGTGATTATGAATGTTCGGATTGTAGATCTAATTCAAGTGTTGAGAATTGGTCTTATGGGTCTCACGAAAAACCATTGGTTTCACATGATCCCAAGTATATATATATATATATATATATATATATGAGACCAATGGTTTTTCGTGAGTCCCGTAAGACCAATTCTCAACCCTTAGATTAGATCTACAATCGTCAGATATGAACATTCATAAACGCCATGAGACTTCTCAATAATTACAAAATTGTCACCGTGCAACTTTAGATCATTAACTTATAAAGTTATGAATCAATAATATCATAGTTTAAAATCAAACTCATTCTTGTTTTTACGTACAAGTTTGTAACATACATATGTGCGTTTCTATATATGTATGTATGTATGTATATATAGAGGTAGATTCAAACGAGAAGCTAAACATGTTGCGAGAAAGTGAGAATTTTCAATAACATATTTGATTATATGACACACAAGCTTAATCATACATGAATAAACACATGTTGCATGAAAATACAGACACCTAATCATATATAATTAAACACATCCAAAACAGTATAATCATATATACTTATATGATACTGAAACTTCTCAAAGAATTTAACTTTCTCATATAATCCTTTCTATATATATGTATAAGGATAATTATCACATGTTAAAAAGAAATTTGATAGCATTTATAATGTAGTCATTGAAGTTAGCAAACCCTAAAGAGCGTTTGTGGTGATTTTGGTCCTATGGGCATTCATGCACATGATATTAAGTATATAAAAATGAGCAACCCAACCAAGTGTTTGTGGCTTCTTTCCATGAAGTGTACTTTATTCAAGAATCTTTCCACTAAAGTGCATTGTAAAAGCACAACTTTTTAGACATGTTACATACTGAACACTCCACAAATGGCTGTTTAAGGTACCAACTTAATGAATAATCAATACTAGTTCAAAAAAGGGTATCTTGAATGACATAATCATGTTGTTCAACGGTCCATCTATCAACCTTATTTTATAATCAACCTGTTACTACTCGACAAATAAACCAGAAACAACATGCTGCAACTTCAATTCATGACGACATGTATCATCTTTTCGGTGGGAAAAACACTCGAGGGAAACACGAGGTCTCATTTGCCTCAAGTAGGCACCGGATAAGATCATAACATGCTCGGAAAACAGACTTTAATATATATATATATATATATATATATATATCTTCAATGAAATTAAAAAACGGTAAACGCTTAGCTGATTAATAGTTAATGTGGATAGGAGAAGAGAAGAGATCGAACGAGGGAGCTCCCTTCAGTCCAAGCACAGATTGGAAAGGGATGAAAACTATCTCCCGCATCATTCACTCAATCAAAGTAGCATAAACTGAATCCTTTTCTACTGAATGGTCAAATGAATGAGTCGGCAGCTAATTCAATTCCTTAATCACATCCATGAGTGGGCTGAAGGGAGCTCCCTTCATTGCAACCTCACTTCCATTACGTACCTACTGCATAAATCAAACGAAATCCAAGTTAATCATTAAGCCATCTCTTTAAGTTCAGATCATGAAT